CATCTCTTTTCTGAGCTCTCATTTTCAAATAAAGAATCTGAGACCACCTAAGTGGTTGACTTGCCCAACCCAAGTAAGAGAGAGACAAAAAAAAAAATGAAGGTTAGGAAGTTAGCTTGACAGAAATGTATTTTCATTGTTGATGGACCAAAAGTGACACAAAGACTTTTTATTTTTGGTTGCTCTAGGGATCAAATTCAGGGCCTGGTGCTTGCTAGGCAAGTACTTTATCACTGAGCTACATCCCCAACCCCCAAAGATGCATTTTTATCGAGGGGGAGGGTTATTATAAAAATATTAATAGATAATATGTTCCCTTGGGACAAAACAGAACAACCTTCCCCTTGTGAGCTGCCTTGTTCCTTTCTCCATAGGTAGCTATCATAATGGCAATTACCTAGATTTTTAGAAATGCTTGTGGGGCTGTGGATTTAGCTCAGCAGTTCGGTGGCCTGCCTTAGAAGTGCAAGGACCCAAGTTCAATTCCCCAGTACCCCCCCAAAAGAAAGAAAGAAAGAAAGAAAGAAAGAAAGAAATGCTTGTATGTATTTACAAGTTAATTCATACATATTTCTTTCATACAGAAATGATAGCATGTTCTTAACATTTCCTCACCTGATTATTTACAAATTAAAATATTTTGGAAATCCTTCCATGTAATGCCTCCATTCTCTTAATGGCTGGGTAGTATTTGATTAGGCAAGTAATTTGTCTAACTTAATGAACACATAACTTTTTGCTGTTGTAAAAAATGCTGTTCTGAATATCCTTACATATATGTCATGTGAAATAGCTGCGTTGTGTTCTAAATTTCCACAGAATATTTAAACTTGTGGTGGATTTCGTAAAAGGAAACTACTCTGGTAGGTTTCATCATTATCTACTTCCCCACATCCCCAACTCACTTGCAAATGGGAATATTTTATATCCTAGAGTGAAAGTTCATCTCAACTGTGAAGGGCCTACCATAAACCTCAATTAAGTTTATCTTACGCCGACTCTTAACATTTAATAGTTCATTTTAAAGAAGAGACATTTTTCTTAGGATTCCTGAGAAATCTTGACCACATGCCTGGTGTTCCTATCTCCCTTCATTGATGAAGACCTGCATTTCATTCACTAGGATGTTCTGTAAAATAAAGAGGAAGGTATAGAAGAGGAGGTAATCATTTGATAATTATGTTTTAACTGCACAACTCATTGTACAGCCCTTAGAATTGTGCCTTTCTTTACCCTTGATTATGGGGAGCTTCTCCTGGCAAACTACACAGTAGTTAACAGTCCAAGTTGTGTGTGTGTGTGTGCATGTGTGTGTGTGCGTGTGTGTTCATTTGGGTATTTAGGTCTGGATCAAGGAGACCATAGGTGACATTACCTGGAAGCCTTCCAGTTCCCATAACAGAGCTGCTCCAACAGCACCATGCTGGAAAGGGAATTTAATTTCTACTTACTGCTATGGCTCATGTGTTGGGGAACTTAACCTTCAAACTGATGTATTAATGATATATGGAGATACAGTTTTGGGGGGGTGGTTAAGATTAAATGAAATTGTGGGGGTGGGGACACAGGGAATAGTGGCTTTACAAGGACAAAGGGAGCTGACACACTTGCTCTTTCTGGCAATTTGATGCCTTCCTCTATGTTGCGAAGTGTCAGAAAGATTCTCTTCTGATGCATCTGCTCCATGTTGGACTCGCCAGCCTTCAGAATTAAAAGGAATACATTTCTTCTTTATAAATTACCCTGCCTGTAGTGTTACGTTAGAGCAACGCAAAATGGACTAAGATGCCTCCTGTATACCTTAAACACACTTGAAGGTCCTGATCCAAGAGTCTACTTGAGAAGGACTCCAGGGTACTGGTGTGGGAGACTAAGTCATTAGGAATATGTAATCTGAGTAGGACTTACCATCCCCATTAATCTTCAATGCACTCTTCCCAAAATTTGGATCATTATTGCAGTTAGAACCATAGAAGCGGTAATTGACAATGTGAAATAGGAAGAAAAGGGCTAAAGGTGTAGGGAAAGTGGGAAGGGTAGGGGAAAGGTAATAGAAAAAATATGAGAAAATGAAAAAATGGAAAAAAGTCTTTAAATGGGGAGGGGAGGAGGGGGTGAAGGGAGGGCAGGGACAAGGGGGAAAATATGAGAACCAAGACCTGTCATGTAAAGGTACAAGATCCCAATAATGAATGTAACTGTACTGTCTACCTAGAATGTACCAACAAAAATGAAAAAAATTTAAAAAAATAGAACAATAGAAGAGGGCCAGGGATCTAGCTCAGTGGTTCTGACACCTACCTCGCAAGCACAAGGTCCTAAGTTCGATCCCCAGTACCCCCCAAAAAACAAACAAAACCAAAACATAGAAGAGAGGTTTACAAAAGGCTATGCAAACCAGAGTAAACTGAGTGGGGAGAGAAAAAGCTAGAAGAGATAGTTATACGGATTATAAGCATGTATCATGTGCTGAGAGTATTAGGCCATTAACACAAGTCCTGAAAAACAATAAATGAGAAAAACAACCCATGAGCCCAAAGTCCTGATGTCCCTGCCCCTCACCCTGAGAGAATGGCCCATGCATTTGACTTCCTTTTTGGATCTTTCAGCCCACTTGTAAACTCTGCAGCATCTTCATCTAGTTTTCCCTACCACAGAAAAGGTCACTCTTCTACTTGACTTAGAAAAGGTCTAATTCTTCTACTTGAACTCAGCATCCTGTCTTGGGACACCTAAGCCATCATTTATTCCCTAACTTCTCAGTAGCTTCCCCTGGCAGGTCACTGCTATTGCATTCCTTTGGGGGAAGTGTTCCCTCTATCTTTGCAGTGTTCCTGGCATAACTTTCAGATGTAGTGCCCCTCAACCACCTCCAGATAGTGAGCACAACCCAATCCGGGCCTCCCGGGCTCCTTCCCTTGGAATGAAGCTCTTGAGCCGAAAGGCAAACGTATCAGAGGGCTGGAGCCAAGTGGTGCCGGTGGAGATGCCCCTGGTGATGCCTGAAGAAACCATGAAGCCCCGCAAACAAGGGGCCTTCTGCCTTCCTGTACTCTCATCTGATACGTCATGCCAATGGCACCAGACATTTTGGCTCATATACCCCTTAAAGTAATATTCAACCATAAAGAACTCTCTAGCACATGTAAAAGCTGCCCTCTAAAAGTTCTTAACCATAAGTTTAATTGTAAGATTGTACATTTCCATATAACGATATTGCATTTTAAAATAAAACTGCAACATTATGTTTTTCTTCATTGAGTTTATTGGTACATTTTAGGGATACAGTACAGTTACATTCATCATTGGGATCTTGTACCTTCACACGACAGGTCTTGGTTCTCATTTTTTCCCCTTGTCCCTGCCCTCCCTTCACCCCCTCCTTCCCTCCCCATTTACAAACATTTTATTTCCATTTTTTTCATTTTCTCCTATTTTTTTCTTTCCCTTAGTACCTTTCCACTACCCCTCCCACTTTCCCTGCACCTTTAGCCCTTTTCTTCCCATTTCACAATGTCAGTTGCAACATTATTTTAAAATCTATATTAGATTTAAAATCTATTAGAAAAATGCTGTAGCTACCTGCTACCTACCAGTTGCCCAAGGAAAGCACACAAAAGCAAGCAATTTAAAAATTTTACTATGCTCCCTTTTCTCCTTGAGATTTTTATATTCATTTTATTCCACTACAGATTTTTATCCTGATGTAATAATTTAATGTGGATCTTTTTCATCACCCTATATTTTCCTATAATAAAGATGCCTGTGAACTGAAACTACATTTGCTATAGTTAAACTGTGCAAAAAATCTTCATTTTGTTACCCTTACCATCACCAACATAGCAATGTAGAGCTATGCTGTCATTTTTAATAAACAATCATCAATTTAAATTGGAAATGTCCTCAATAAGGTGGATGGCAGGCAGGCGGTTGTTTATGGGACCTTGATTCTAGAAGATCAACACCAATTTTGTCTGCCTGCTTGTCCAGAGCTACAGGAATTTTCATAACCTGCTGAGTTTATAAACTGCAGAGAGAGAGATGCTTTTTTTTTTTTTCTTTAGAAATGACAGGAAAGGGGCATTTATGAAAAAAGAGATGGAAAGGAACACTGGCCGGACAAGCAGGCAGATCCGGTTTAGGACAACCCTGATCTAGAAACATTCCCTGTACAAGCTGCCCGAGGTTCTGTGCTGTGGAAAGTATTCCAGCTTGAAGACCTTCGCGGTAAGCCCCACAGGTTCTTCCAGAACCTTCCTTTCCCTGCTCGTGAGCCAAAGTTGTTTGGTGGTTTTACCTGCGGAGAAAATCCTGTCAACTAGGCCAGTGGAGGCCATTGTTGCTTTTAAATTTTCTCTTTCAACCCATTTCCTTCATTCAGCCATCCTCACTTTCTCTCCTGCTTTTCCCAGCCAAATACTTTATCAGGAAAGATTTCCTAGCTCCTATCTCTGCATTTATGCCCTGTAGAGCCCCTTGTTCCTGTTCGCAGCCACAGGTAGGGGAGCCACCTTCTGATTGCCAAATCCAAAGCAGGCCTCCCTGCACCAGACCTCGTAACAGCTACTGCCTCCCGGTATTCTCGGCTGCCTCTTCGTCCTCTAGCCAACCTTTGAAGGTTCCGGAGCCTCATACTTCCATGCCAGGCCGCTTTGGATCTTAGTGTTAAAATTAGAACCTATTTTAACCCTCAGAGCTGTTGTCAGCACCAGATCCTGCCCCGGGAGCAGTTACTGCAGCGTGCGACCACCAGAGGGCAGTGGTCTGCTGGCTTGAAGCGGGAAGGCGGAATGTGCGTACTGCACAGCCGCGGCAGAGTAGGCGCTAGGGTAGTTTAGTCCACAAAAAGGGCTCCGCTGGTGGAAGGTGTAGGGTTTGCACGCGCTTGCAGTGTCCTGTAACCAAAACGCCTACAAAAACGCCGAAGGCCTAGGAGAATGAGAATGGGTGATTACCAGACCTCGCAGGCGGCTTTAAGCACGAACTCCGCTGCCCCGCTTTCTGCTGCATTTCTTCTTTACCGTAGATGCGTGGTGCAGCCGCTCAGCTGCCCTGCACTCTGGGTCTGGATGTCGGGCTGTGTTCGCAGACGCCCCGGCCTGCTGTGGGGCACACGTGGGTGGGGACGTGGGGGGCAGTGTTTAGGAGTCTTTGAACAGAGTCCTGAGCTTTCTACGCCAAGCCGAGAGGTGGAACCCAGGCTCTTTTTGGTTGGGATGGCGTTTTATTGCTCCAGGGCAGAATGGCCCCGGATGGAGAGAAATGGCCACAGCTTGGTCCAAACGCTCTCTGAACTCTTACATACTGAGCGCTCTGGACCTGCACGAGGTGTCTGAGCAGGAGACGCTGTGGTCCTGCAATCACAGAGGCCAGAGGTGGACGAGATGAGATCTGACCTTGGGCTATTTGTTTCTCATGCCTTTCGGATTAACTGCTCTACTGAATAATTTCTCAACCAGGGATGCATATTAAATGTTTGTGGTGTTATGACCAATCAGGAGTTCCCTAGAGAAACAGAGCCCAGATTTGGTTTATTTAATTGTGGGGCTGGCTGGTGGAGGGCGAAGTCCACAGGGTTGGGCCACCTGGACATGGGCTGAAGCTGCTGGCCATGGTGGAATTTCCTTTGCATCAAGGAAGCCTCAGCTCTGCTCTTACAGAGTGAATCAGGCCCATCCAGGATCTCCTCACTTAGAGTCAGTGGATCGTCGGCTTGGTCGCAGCACTTTCAGGGAAACACCTGGCTTCCTATTTGATTAACTGCAGCTAATGGCCAAAGCTGACACATCAGAAAACTTGATTACACCGAGGAAACCTTTGGAGAGGAAGAAGCCTGAGCGGCACCCTAAACCAGTTGCAGATGAATTTAAGTGGGTGGAGCCTGGGGGCACCTTGGCATTTTTCAAGCTCTCTGGACTATGCTGATGCATATGAGGGTTAAGAACTGTGAGTCTCCTCAGTAATGGTGTTCATGGGGACTTGGAATTTGCTTTGAACCACTAACCTTTGTTTACTGTGTTGGGTCACCTGGAGGAGGCAAACTCCAGCTCTGCCTGCTGTGTTCCAGGTACGTTTTGTCATGGTCAGTCTCACTGCCATCATTTTCACAAAAAAAGAAAATGGGGGAATAGGCCCTCTCTGGCCAAGTGGCCGTTACCCAAAAGCCACACCTTGCTGCCTGATTATGCAATCTGTCTGGTTTGGCCTCCTCTTTCCCATCCCAGGGCATGGCATGTGACCAGCTTCCCTTGCCAGCACAGGAACCAGTTCCAGCCAATGTGGCTCAGGCAAAGTGAGTGCCAGTCTTTGGGGTTATAATTCTCTCAGAGAGGCAGCAGGGGGGTGATGAGAGCAGGAATGCAGCCAGGAAGAACCTCGAGTTGGAAACATACCCTTCTCCACCAGAGGAGACTCAGAAACTAGACACAGTATGGGCCCTCAGTGCCACCGTGCAGCCCTGGGACCATTGCCCAACTGCTATCATAAGCTGTTTGCTGAGAACACCTGCTCATTTGCAGAAGATGCAGCAGAAAAAGTGAAAGAATGAGTCTGATTTGGTGTTTGAGGGACTCATAGTACGATTTTGGAGACAGAAGATTGTCAAAGGTCTGGCAAAGCTTGGACCCCTGAGGGCTCTTGTCCCTCCACAAATAGACAAATCCCTGATCTACCACAGACTCCTTCCAGAAACAGCAGTTCATCTTGGAGGAACGTGCGAGGCCTGCCACACTACAGCCATTCCCTGTCCCAGCACAGGAGCTTTGTGTTTTCTCAGTCCGTGGTGGAGTCCCAATTTCTTTCCCAGCCTAGAATTCTCTCTCTACCCTTCCTTCTTAGCCTGTCTGTCCATCCTCTGTCAGACCTTCTCCAGCAAGACTGCAGCAGCCCCAGTCAACACTACCCTCCCAGTAGCCCAGACCCCTTCTCCCAGTGGCCTTGGAAAGTATCTGATCACAGAAGGGACCTCATGGAGGGGCCAAGGTGCCCCTAAACTTGCAAAGCATGTTTCTTCCTAATAAATACATTCTGAATCATGTTCCAAAGTGTCCCAGTTGGCTAAAAGTCTGCTCAATGACAACATTTTGCTATCTCTTATATATGCTTCTCAGTTTCCTTAAATATGACATTAATCTACAGGACCAGTAATAGAAGTCAGGGAACACTAACAGCTTTGAGTTTGTACCCTCTCTGAAGATAACCAGTTTGATCTGCTTGACTAAGGTGAGGTCGTCTTTTTCTATTTCTGGTAATCACTTCAGTCCTGTGTCCCCCAGTTACAAAGTGTCCTTTATCTCTCCTTAAGACATTTTCGCAAAACAGCTGCTGTGGAACGGCAGGCTTTCCTCAGTGCAAAGAGGCCTGTATTGCTTGCAGTCAACAAGCTGAGATTAAAGCCAGCATGACCAGTCAACTCCTGACAGGCCGCAAAATTTTCCACCATCATAATTGCTTTTGCGACGGCGTCACTGTTGCAAACTGTGCCCCTGATGTTCAGTGCATCTTTACTTTCATCATTCCAGATAAACTTAAAACCATGGTGGCAGTTTATTTTGAGGGAAAACAAAGGACAATTCCTGCCTCTCCAGTTGTGACTCAGTCTAGGGTCTAAGGCTTTCAGGGGGGATTTGCATTCAGCCCCATAGGCTACCTCTTTCCCTGGGGAGTCTTAGCAGCAGCTCTGGAAGCTAAAGTGAAATAAAATATTTGCCAAAACAAGCCCCCAGTGGACTTTCTAGGGGGAGGGTGAGCTCAGGTGGCAGTCCAGACTCACCTTTCCCCTGAGTGGGTTCTTAATTGGGTTTCCTGGGTTATTTGTCAGAACCATCTGAGCCCAGGAAATTGCCACATCGCATTCTAGAAAACAAAAGCTTAGAGGATCTCTCTTTTCCAGGCGACAACTTGGCCTGTTCAAATGTACTTACTCTGTATACCAAAAGCCATAGGAGATTGAGTCTCTCTGGCCCCAGAAGTCCCAGTGTTACCACCAGCAGCTACTTGCCTTAAAGAAGAATCACAGCATGATGCTGCTAAAGTTACTGCACAGGGTGACAGGCAGATCACCTAGCCAGACAACAGCTGATCATTTTTATTTGGCAGCTTCTGAAAACGGCCAGCCTCTCCTGCTGCTCTCCTCCCTCGCTCCCATGCTTGTCTGTGAAGCTGTCCTGGAGGACAGGCTTGGGGAAGTCTCCCCTTGGGAAAATAAGACCCCTTTCTGGTGGGCTCAGGGACAGTTGCCAGAGCTGACTGTCTCTCTCCCGGACTCCGGGAAGCTGGGTTACCCTGGCACTCAGAAAATGAGGTCACAACAGCTCCTGTCCTCTAGAGTAGCTTCTGAGATTCAATTCCAGTCTCACTTAGCTCTTTTAAGCCTGCTCTTGGCTTCTGTCTCACGTGCCAAGTTGGAAATCTGCTCCCGAGATTGTTTCTAAGAGCAGTAGGCAATGAGAGGTTTGGTGGGGAGACATGAAAAGTAGCCCCAGATCTAGAACCTGAGAATTGGACAAAAATGTAACTCTGTTCTGGGGTCCCTGCCTCAGAATTCCTTAAGGGTCTGTTGAGGGCCTTGGGGAAAGATTAAGGCTTCACATCTCAGAGCTTCAGCCCCCTGCGAAGCTAGCAGTTGTTTGTAGGCAGATTGAGAGCTGTCTTGCTGGACACAGACAGAGTGGAGACTTTTCTTCTGTCTTCCTAGGGGAGCTTTTCAGAACTTTTCCAAGAGCCTTTTCAGCTGTGGTTTAAATCCAGAGCCACAGCATCAGGAAGGAGAACATTTGCTTTGGCACCTAGCACTTCCTATTTGGTCCCAGCTCCAAATGTATGGAATTGGGCTTTGCGCAGAGGTGTGCAGCATTAATTCTCTGTGGCAAATGGACAAGTAGAGACAGTGTCTCCCCAAGGACACGCCGTTCTTACTGTCCAGGATGCCTCCCTTGCTGCCTTGAGGCTTAGGATAGTTGCCCACAGAAAAAAATTTGATGAGAGATTCGTGGTTTGTGTGATGGAGGATGTTACAAATTCTATACTGAAATTTTTCTTGCGAATATTTTTCCTTTCAGAATTAGAAAATATATAGTGTGCATTTGTGACATCTGTTCAAAGGAAGCGTGAAGAATGTTGTTCACAAATCAAGAAATTAAATGTTTTCTTGAGGCCTATACGCTTGCCGCAGGAGGGCTGGGTTTAAACTGCTCTCTAAAAACGTACAATTTGACAATTAATTTACTCTCTTATTTTTGGCAGACAAGAGTGGTGACTTGCCAGTACTCATGACTTACTGCAGCCACCCCCAGACATGTGTTCATGACTTGGGTGCCATGAAAGTAAACAGTTGTGCACGTATCCAAGCCATCAGCTCCAGCTTTCTCCCCCACATCCTTGCCTGGGGACACACACAATGGATTGTCACCAAGCAGCCACTGCCGTAGTAGACAAGCAATCTCGTTTAGCTTTGAGCCCTACAGTGCCCATTTTCCTGGGGAACTGGCCCTGTGACACACTGGAGCGGGTCTTCCTTCTCTGCAGCCCTGATGGGTTCTCGGAGACCTGAGAACCTCTCACTCTTTATCTTTCATCCCTGGGTATTCATTATCTCCTATCTCTGAAAGGGGTGGTCACCAGAATTAGTCTTCATATTGAAATGATTCATGGGATTTTTTTCTAGGTTCTTTTATCTATCTTGTACTTCTTGGTGTTTTCATTGACCTTGGCAGGGGATGAGCCTGAGCAAGAAGATGTTTTAGAATAGAGGTCATGGAATCAAGAGCTTTCCCAAGGGTGATGACCAGTACTTCAGCACTTCTTCCTTCCCATAAGCTTACTTACAGTTGCTTCCACTTCTGTTTAGTGTAAAAACACTAAAAAGGAGAGTAGTTCAAGTGTAGAGGGTGTCATTTTAATACTCCAAGTAGTTGGAATGCTATTTTTTTAAAAAATTGGAGTCCTTTTTAAGTGGAGGAATAGAAGAACCTCCTGCCTCCCTCACCAGAGCCTCTGCAGACTTCCCTGATTTCCTCTGATCAGACATAGATTTTTCAACTTTATGGTGGTATAAAAGCACACATCTATACTCATTCTGTTTTCCACTTTCAGTGTATCACTCAATAAATCCCTTGAGATACTCAGCAATTTATTATAAAATTGCCCTTACGTTAGATGGTTTTTCCAACTGTACATTAGTAAATGGAAGTTTTCTGAGCACCTTGCTTGTTTTATTGAGATAAGGTCTTGTTACGTAGTTCAGGCTGGTCCTGAACTCATTATGTAGGCCTGGCTGACCTCTAACTCACTGTGATCCCCTGCCTCAGCCTCCTGAGTGCTGGGATTATAGGCGTGCACAACTACAACCAGATCGGAGCATGTTTAAGGTAGGCACAGCTAAGCTATGGGGGTGAGCATGTTAGGTTTGTTAAATACATTTTTTACATATCATATTTTCAATTTAAGATTGGTGTATCTAGAAAGAACTCCCCATAAGTTGAGGAGCATTTGTATAGTTCTCACACTACACTATGATTATTTTCCTACTAACGTTATCTACTCCCTAAACTGAACTCATGGACTTGGCATGCATCCTTTCCTCAGTGTCCAGCTCAGCGTCCAGAACATGCCAGCGCTCCAGAGTACACACTGAGAAAGTGTGCAGCACACTTTGTCTTTCTTTTTCAGGAGTGGGATTTAAGGGAGTGGGATTGGGCAAACAAATGTGCAGCTCTGGACTTGCAGTATGTGCTCCAGCCTGTGCTGGCCAGCCGTGGCCCCTCTGGGTCTCTCGTGCACCTGCCACTGGGACTCTGGGCACAAGCTGGGTAACAGCAAGGGAAGTCGGCTATGCCCTTACCCTTACCTGCCAAGTGGTCAGTGGGCCAGCTGTCCTCTCAAATGACATCCAGCCATTTCCTCTTCCACTGACTCGGTGCAGCGTGGGTGGAACCATGTGACCCTGCCACCAATAACCTCAAGTGTGTCATTGTGAGGCCAGACGCTCTCCTCTTCTTCACACCGAACAACACATGCCTTTGTGTTTTGAACACTCCCGGTACCAGGCCGCAATTCTGTGGGACAGGCAAAGGATCTTTTCAGTGACCCATCCAGAGGGGAACCTAGAGCTTCCCACACAGCACTTTAAGTCCATAGAAAGGGCACAGAGTGGCTGACTCTTGTGCTTAGGTGGTGACTCTCCCTGATAGGATCCTCAAAAATATCTGCTCCATATGCAGAGGCACTGGATTGGTTTCAACCAATACAGGGAGTGCAGACTGGAAGAAAATTACATTTCTTTTTTTGCACTAGCCTTTAATTAAAATGTGTCATTTTCTTGAATTATGAATACAAGCAACAGTAACCACAATGTCTGTGATATCACCACAAACTGTGGGTATCTACATACTGCCTTACTGGGTCTCAGGTAGCCTGCAACATCTTTTATGTTCACCACTTCTTTGAAATTATGTAGCTCATGGGCCTACTGCTAGATCTTGACTTTTAGTGCATGCTCTGTGTGTTAGAGTTCTCTAGAGAAACGAAAACAATGTGCATGCATGCATGTGTGTGAGAGTATGTGTGTGTGTGTGGGTATGTGTATCATTTCTTGATCTAGAGCCCAGCCTCTGGACTTTCCTGCCTGTGCTTGCCATCCTAGGCCACTCTGCTCCAGTATCAGTATCGGCTCAGAGGCCTGTGGAGACTGAGAAATCCTTGCCCTGCCACCTTCAAGCTTGAGAAATAACTGATGGTATGGATGGTTCTAAGACCCCAAGGGCCAGTGGCATATGTGCCTGCCAAGGGCAGAAGAGGGATGCCGTGGCTCATTCAGGTAGAGATGACAAAGTCATCTCCTTCCTCTTCCTTTTTGTTCCACTCAGTCCCTCAGTGGATTGCATGATGTCCACCCATATTGGGTGCTCAGTCTACTAATTCACATGTTTTTCTCATAGAGAAGTATCCACAGACACACCCAGAAATAATGGAACCAACCATCAGGGCATCCCGTGACCCAGTCAAGTTCACTCTTAAAATTAATCATCATACTATATCATGAGCTTGATTTTAAAAAGGTATTACTACTGCTGTATTTCAGTATTGGTAATTCCATATACCTGAGAATATGCATGTCGAACATTGTTTTGAGAAGCAAAATAAGGCCACTAGGTAGTCAAAGCGACTCACAGAACCAAAAAATATTAAGAATCTCTGAGATCCACTCTGCCGTGAGGCCCCCAAGCCTTTGTCTGACTACTTCTTGGGTGGAAACAAATCCTTCTCAAAATAATACCTTCTATTTTATATTCTTTAAATACACTTAAGGGAAGGGTGTGTGAACCAGCTGCCTATGTTTCCCCTTCAATTCTAATTCATTTTGCTTTGCTTCCTCCTCTGGAGTTGAGCACTGCAGATGTATCCCCTTTGCATGATACTGGGCCCTGTCAAGGAGGAGCAGTGGTTGGACCAGGGTAGGAGGAAGGGCCTCCTCTCCCTAGCATCCAACACACTTCCTTTCTTTTTGCTTTGCTTCCCTTGGCATGGCCATCTAGGGAGTGTGGACCCACTGCCGGTCTTGCAGCAAGCTTCAAAGAACCCACAGTTCTCAGTGAGGTCCTTCCTGCCCTGTCTTGCCTATCAGCCACAGCCCACTGATGTTGGCAGTTTCAGAAGGATGCCAGTCGCCAGCCCGAAAAGTCGGGCTGTGATAGTTAGCGGGTTGTGTCAACTGGAGTAAGAAACACCCAACTAAACTGGATCAGCATAGTTTGGTTGTGGCTGAAGGGATTTATAATGAAGACAAAAACCGATCCCGGGGAGGCTTGTCACCCGGATGGTGTGAAAGGGAAATGAAGAAGGATGGCTCACTTCTGTTTCTTCCAGAGGAGCTCTGATCTTCACCTTCACCTTGGGCCTCATCTTCTGGCTTCCAGCTGGGACTCCACAGCCTTCAGCACAGACCCTGCGGCATCCTCATGGGGACTTCACGGGACTCTACAGTGAGCTCCAGGCCTTTGACTGGATCCTTTGTATCTCCAGTGTACAGGCAGCCTATTGGCATCCTTCAGTATCTGACGCCAGTCTTGTGAAGTCTTATATTTGTAGGTCTTGCACTAAATCTGTTTCTCTAGTAAGCACTGATTGATACAGGGGCTATTTCCTGCCCTGTGATTAGGACCAGTTCTTATCTGAGCCAGTTCAGGAAATAAATCTGTGACCCACTGGGCAACTTCCCTAATAGGTCTTGAATTCCAGTTTGAGGAGGAGGTCTCTTCTAGCAGTTTTCTAGGGCTGCCAGTATTACAGTATTACAGACTGGGTTGTTGAACAGCAGAAATTTGTTGTCCTGCAGCTCTGGGAACTGTGCATTTAAAATGAAGGCGTTGCCGGGGATTTAGCTCAGCGGTTCCTCTGCCTGCCTCACAAGTGCAAGGTTCCAAGTTCCATTCCCAGCACTGGAAAAAACAAAAACAAAACAAAACAAAACATGAAGGTGTTGTGGGTGGGGATTTAGCTCAGTGGCACCACACAGCCTTGCAAGCTCAAGGTCCTGAGTTCAATCCCAAGTACCCACCCCCAAAGATGAAGGTGTTGCTGTGGGAATGGGGATAAAATGATCAAGAGATGATATAAATCTGTACCAATTCCCCAAAGTGAATGTAATTATTATGTATTGCAAACATATAATAAAATTTTAGAAAAGATGAAGGTATAGGCAGAATTTGTTCATCCTGAGGGCTAGAAGAGAGAATGCGTTCCATGCTTGTGGTGGTTTGTGGGTTATCCTTGGCATTTCTGGGCTTGTGGAAACATCACCCTGATCTCTGCCTTTATCATTACATCACATCCTTCCTGTGTGCACTTTGGTTTCCAAATTTTTCTTTTTATATAGGACACCAGTTCTATGGATTAGGGGCTAACCCTGTTCCTGCACGAATGTACCATAACATAATTATTCACATCTGTGGAAATTTATTTCTAAATAAGTTCATCTGAGTAGGATTTTGACATATGCATTTTGAGGGACACAATCCAATCCATAGGTCAACTTTCTTTGTAAATTTGCTTTTTTTTATTACTCTCAGTCCTAGATTCTTTGGAGACACATCTTGCCTCTTTATAGCTAACACTGTTGTTAGTAGGTTATTATTCTCTATGCCTTACATTTTCATCTAATTTGGTCTTATGTTCTCTCACAAGGGAGTGACCATAAACTCAAGTTCTGTCTTGGATGGGGCACCAGAAGATCTGAGGGGGCATCATAGAGTTTATGGTGTGCTTTTACAGGATTCTTTATTCTGGTGGAAGATCTAATATTTGAGTATCTGACCCATGTCCAGGTGTCTTCTCCCAGGAAGCCTGTTTATACTGATAGGAGCCTTAGTGGTTCTGGTATGATCTGTGCCCACTTTTTCCTGGACCAAGGTAGCTACTACTTCCTAGCAGAGGTCTAATCAAGAAAGATGTTACCCTTGGGTGTGTTGGTCAGGCCACATACAGAAGAGATGAATTGGTGGTTTATTTATATGCTTGGTTTTATTGGCATTAACAGCTAAAGTAGCTCCCTTAGAAAGATGGAAATGGCAGAGGAGCATCATTGGCTGAGTTTGCTAAATTATAATAACTATCAGTGGCCAAGTAGGACCATATAATCATGCTTATCTTTCCATACTTGCTCAGAAATGAATAAACGCATATAAAAGCAGGATGCATTCATATGTTCATTGTTTGGCAAATGTAAGGACATTAACTCAGTACAAATTTGAAGTGGAAAAATTCTTGGTGTCTTTGCTGTTTCCCTATGAACTGGCAGTTGAGGACACAGGAACCTTTCTACTTCCCTAGTCATCACTGGCATGATGTTCTGTTTGACACAGCAGCTGACTTTCACATACAGCAAGCCAGTGATATGAGAGGGCAAGGTGAGATCATGGTACCTTGGGAAACCTGGCTTCAGATGTCACACACTGTCATCTGTACTGCGTTCAATCTGCCCCTTGGGTTACCCCTGGCTCAGGGCAAGGACTGTACATTGGTAAAGACTTCAGGAAGCAGCTACTGGAAATTCTTGCAGAATGCAGCAGGAAAATGGGAGAATAGGCTGCCTCAAGAGAAAACAGAAGAGCCAAGAAACAGTCCAACTCAGCTAAATAATCAAGTTTCAAGATGGACATTTGCGGCAAGTTTAAAAAGCAATCAGCCTGGTCCGGGGATTTGACTCAGAGGTTCTGCCCCTTGCCTCTCAAGTGCAAGGCCCGAGTTCCATCCTGGGTACCCAAAAAGAAAAAAAAAAGCAGCCACCCCAGATTGTATGAGGAGAATAGGGAATTCTTGGATTGAGATCTCTAGGAAAAGAAAAATAGACCATCTGATATCCTCATGCTTTATATTTATTGATGTATAAACAATATTATATACAAACAAAATGAAGCCTTCATTTTATAAAAAGCTATAAAGAGAAAAGAAACAGGGTGATTATTATTCCAGGAAAACAAAACACTGTGCAAGAAATAAACCATAGTGGTAGTAGATTAGTTGGGGTTTGCGGTGGATATTATTTATACAAACATGCTAATATCGATGCATTCATTGACTTAGTGAAAATGGAATATAACTAGGGGGAGCAAAGCATGAGAAGTAGTGGGGGTAGAGAACATAAGAAACCTAAATCTCCATTTAGAATAACAGAAAATCAATAGATAATATCCAAGTTTTGAAAAAATTCATATAAGCATACTGGTTAGAAATCCAGAAAAAAAAAATCAGGCAAATCTGTTAAAGAATTGAGAGTGATCTCTGAGGGTCTCAGGAGTGGAGCAGAGCAGGAGTAAGGTAAGGGACAACTGTTTCTTTCTAACTTGTTGTTGTTCTAAATCATATAATCCTGTTTGGTGTTCTTTGTCATATAAAAAAGACTCATTCAAGCAATATGTATGAAATAGAATGTCTATGAACTAGCAGCTCCCATTTCTGAATGTCTATATCACTCTTCAAACTTATTGCAATATTTATGGCTGCAAATATATTTAGAGAATAAACTGCCACTGCAGTCCAAACAAAGGTATTTGGCCCTCTCCGAAGCCCTGGCTTCCACCCCGAGCTGCAGGTCCTTTCCTTTCCTTTCTGCCCTTCTCTGTATTTCATGGCCCTTTCCCCGGGAATCTCCTTAATGGTTCTTCCTTAAGATTTTAACTTGCTGTCCTCACTCCCACTGCTCTCTCTAACTCAGGGGGAAAAAAACTTTTTCTGCTTAATTCTTCTGGCACTTCATGTATTACATTTTAAACTTTCGCCTTGTGTTACTTGGGGCTGTGTCTTAAGTACAAGATCTGACATATTTATCCTACTTAGGCGCTTCTAAATTTCAGGGGCTCCAGCGCAAGATAAATTAACTCTGTACAAAGAGGAAAGAACAATGCTCTGAGTCGTGTCTTTGCTGCCCCCTATAGGTGGACACTGGGACTGCGTGTCCCCTTGCACCCGGATCGATATTATTTTTTAATCTTTTTTTTTTCTTTCCTATTTACTGAGTGATCACAAGCAGCCAGTGGCCCTCCTCAAAAAGTAGCCCACGGTTATGTGTAATTTTTAAAAAGTCGTTTAAGAGTGATTGCTTAAAGGTCTTATTAAAATTACTGGGAAGCCGGAGGCTCCTAGCTAGTAGTCGAATGAACACTTTGGTCAGTAGAGGGCTCTCTTCAATGCTTCCAACACGAGGCCGTCTAACAGCAAGCAAGTCTCCACACTGCTCTGTCACTTTTTATCATATTTGGTAGAGTTTGAGTTAAATATGCTTAATTAAAACATGCATAGGTAAAATATCCTTAAAGCGAAGACAAAATTGCATAAAAATTTAAGGTGGAGCCAAAAAACCTGCAAGACCATCATGCTTGCTATTTATTGGCCAGAGCTCTTCTTTTCTCAGAGCAGAGGTCCCCAAATCCCAGGCCACAGACTGAACAGCGCTGTAAGGCGTCAGGGTGCGAGAGAGAGAAGGTTGAGAAGGGACACGGACTGTGAATTGCGCATGCGCATGTGAGGGAGCTAGGTTTCCACTCCTTTGAATCATCTCACCCCCATAGCTGGAAAAATTTTCCTGCACAAAATTGGTCTCTGGTGTCAATAAAAATGTCAGAGAGCACTGTTTTAGGGCATTCGATACCTCAGGAAGCGAAGGCGTGGCGGTCAACCCTTGGAGGGCACACCCTGCCATCCTGAGTGGAGCTAGACAGACGAGTCACTAGAATGAAGCATAAAAACACTAAAACTTCTGTGTATAGTTACTCTTTACATTAAAAATAAAGTATTTGCTGAGCACGGTAGCACATGCCTGTAACCCTAGCTACTATGAAGGCTGAGGCAGGAGAGTCACAAGTTTTGAGTCCAGCCAGGGCAACATAGTGAGACCTTGTCTCAAAATAAAAACATAAAAAGGGCTGGGGTTGTAGCTGAGTGTAAAGGCCCTGGGTTTAATCCCAATATCAGAATTAAATATATATATATAT